GAATGTAATGTTGTAGAAGTATTGTACATATTGTACAACGTTAACATTAACACCTGTTTACTTACCAGTCTGGCCAAGAGATTCAGTCACCGTTGCATTACAAGACAAGAGGTTAGTATACACCACACACACGCTACTTCTTCAGGGAGTCGGTATCGGAAAGTGATGAGACGGTCCAGGGCTAGCTGGTTAGCATGCTAACTTCAGTAGAAGAAAAGAAACAAGAGGGTTGCTTTCCAACACCGGAGACAGCTCTTGGCAAGTAAACGAATGAAGTTTGATGTGGAACTCGCAACGTTTCCTTTAGGATGGTAAGTAAACAGCTGTTAATGCTAACATTGGCTACGCAGTTTCAGTTGTTTTGTCTCACCCTTGCTTAGATGTAGCTGGTTTTGACTGTGAGATATTTAAAGCTGTTGTTTGATTGAGCAGGGTTTTGTATGTGTAGACAGGGGAGTATCCTCTTTGTCAATTGGGTTTTCCTGTTTAAGCAATTGTGGCTTTTTGTGTCATGTGCATATAGTAATACTGGAAAATGGTAAAAATACAGTCTCTGAATCACTGCTGTTGTTGTAGTTTTTGTTGTTGGGGCTCCAAGCCTCTCGGAAATTCATCAATTGGGTTTCGATGCATACCTAACCGAGTGACAGCATGTGGGTCTGGGTGTGTTTTTAGCTTTGGAAAATTAGTTGGAACAAAAATTAGTCATTGGACAAATGAGTCACTTTAATAGCTCACCAATTGTTAGCTTTCTTTAGCTCATCACCAGCTTGTCCTCTCCTTATTCCCTTTTCTCTGTGTTGGACCCTCTGTTTTGTCTTTGGCGTGAGACTGTGCACCACTGATGTCCTTCTCTTATGGAAATGACCCTCTCACAGAGAAAGTCACACTCCATCTCACTTTTCAGCACCAGTCAGTCCACATTACAGAGCAGGGACGACCCCAGCGGCGCAGACTCCATCACTGCCCAGCGCTGAACTTGCACAGTAATGTATGGATTCCAGCTGACGCCTTGACACTGTGAAAGAGGTGCAGGGAGATTTCTCTCAAGCTGTTTTGACACAGAGCGTGACTCTGGCAGAATTCCTCACCTTTTTTGCTGGGGTGGCTAAACCTCTCGATTAATCTCGCGGAGTGGGCTGTTGAAAGTGAAGGGCGCTGCCTATTCCTGTTTAGCATTTATCAGATTTGCCCTTTGGTGATGGCAGCTAATTAGCGATCACATTATTCATGTCTCTGCCGTTTTGTTTTTCCTCACTTTCGCGGGCTTACAGAAGTGTCGGCCACGAGTATACACTGGCTGCGCAGATGGAATGAACATATGTAAAAGCAGAACAGCTGCCCTGATGGGAAAATATAATCTGCTTTTATTTCTAGAAGAAATATGTGCTGCAGACAAACCATTGAATTTACGGTTCAATCATGCATCAGGCTGGAAAATGACACTCTGCTTGTCTCATTATCAACACGCTAATTCAGATGTCTTTCTGTATTGCACTTTATTACTGTGCAAGATGCCTGTCAGCCAATCCATTAAACTCCAACAGAATAGATCTGCCGACACTGAGAAATGGACTTTTGAGTGAAGAAGGAGACCTCTTGTATCCACCAGTTTTGAAATTGAAAATATTTGTATTCATAGACTATTGATTTTTTTTCAATGAGGGAGGGGTAGATGGAATATTCTAAAAAAGAGTACTTTTATGTTATAAAATATGTGTAGAGGGGATATTTTGTCAGTAATCTATCAAGAAAAACTACAACATTCACTTCTTAAATGTAAATATTATCCACTTTTCTCCTCACCTTGTGTTCTGGTAATTGATAATGCATATTTTCAGCTATTTTCTGACATTTTTAAACTAAATGACGAAGCACTAAAGCAGAAAAATAGCAAACAGCTTAACAGATAATGAAAATAACTATTAGTCATGATAACCAAAGCTTTAAATGACTGTGATCATTTGCTCACCATTTCTGGGCGCTTACGCAGAAGAAAAAAATTGGCTGTTTGAAAGCTAAGAAACATGAAAACCACAGTAAAACTTTGGTTATGGTCAACTTTTCTTGGCGATCAAATGTGAGCTTTCGTGGTTGTTGAGCTTCATGGGAAATAGACTGATTTCCTGTATTTGGTCAATCACGTTTCTCACAGACTCCAGGAGGAAAGAGCAGAACCATAAAATAAATGTGAGCAGTGACCTAAAGTAAAATATTACAACAGCGGTGACAGTATATTAGTATGTTACAGTCCAGTGATCAGACAGTGTCTTACCAGGTGCGTACATTTGCATGAGGTATGGCGAGCATGACGGGAGGGGCCTCCACTGACCTTGGCCTGCGCATTTAACATCAGTGTGACAAATGCGTAACATCTGCAGTGCTAACAAGGGACAGGCTGTTCAAAGGTGTGTGGCACTGCAGCTCAGATGTTGCGTGACCAGACTTTTTCTGACCTGAGATTAATATCATTTTTCAAATTAATCTGAAAAACATTTCACCACACCATCTTTTATCTTTTTTTTTGTTGTTGTTGTTTTTTTGAGGATTTTTTAATAACTCACTGTAAGACATAGTCGCTTTATAATCATGGCTCTTTTCAGACGTTACACCTGTCTGGCGTTTGTTAGGCTCGCCACGCTCATTAAGTTAATTTACAGCTAAAGCTCTGTCATGAGGATAGTAAAGGATACGCCTCGTCTCTATTTAGCGCTCACCCACCTCTTTACATTCTTCTTCTTCTCCACCAATGACGAGCATGCCATCGGGCCCAATGAAAAACCTGCATCGCTCTAGTGGGCCATCCTGACACTTTAATTGGAGAGGCGTAAATCAGGCTCCATTGTCAAGGAGAGTAGTAATTATTTCCTCCTGTCTGAGCCACCAGTGATCCCCTCTTTCTTTCCCTATATTACTTTCTGTCTCTGTCAGGCGTTTCACACACTGTCCTTTCCTTCCTTTTCTTTCCTGAGGTGTGATTTAACAAGAAGCTTTTACTTTTACCTCAAAGCCAAAGTGCTAACGTGTAAAATCCTTCACATCCTGGCTCATACCTGCAGTGAACTGACATGTGACACTCAAGCCCAGGAGTAACACAAATGCATCCATTCATGAAAATGCAAACAGAGCATAATTTCTCTCTCTGGAGCTCAGTACGGAAATAGAGTTAAATCAAAGGCATCAGGGTAATACATACTGTAGCATTCACTTATCCAGCCAAGCCAAGTCGTTCTAGACTCCTGACTCCTCTGGTTTGGGCTTGTGTTTGAAGCTGCATGTATGTATTGGAAGAAGCGTTTGTGTTGATGCAGGTTTGGCTTAGACACTCACCATAGCTCCTTGTGCTGAGCAAGCTTTACCCAGTGAGCCCATTTAAAGCAAATCATTTCTCAAAAGGGCTGAACATGATATCTGCACGTCAGGTTTGCATGCTCCCGGTTTGAAACGGAGTGTACTCCTCTCACCAAAACCACATCCACATCTTTTTTCATGGCTGACCACATGATGAAGAATGTCCTGAATGTTATTACTTTACTATCATCCATCCTGATGATGAAATTCATCACTTCTGAGCCAAGACTATACTCAAGGAGGACATCTGAATATACTGAATGATAAGGGCAGGAATGCATGCTATGCAAAAGGAGAACAATTTTTTTAAGCCATGCTGGCTGCATGGCTAAATGGCTAAATGGATGGATTGACGAGACATTTGATACATTCATTGTGCACAGAGGATGAACCCTCGCTCACTTTTGTTTTTTCCTTTAAAATTTCCCATCCCTATTTGTCCGAATAACATGGTGATCCCTTGACTTTTCCTGTACAGCCACCATGAGATTAACATTCGTGATTTTGAGCAAAGCATATCAATAACCTTTGAATGGATTGTCATGAAATTTTATGAACATTTGTGTTCCCCTTAGGATGAATTGTAATAACTTTGGTGACTTTAGTTTTGCAGGTATTTGGTTTAACACCAATTTCATTTCAACCTACCTCAGCTGTACTTTGAGTTTAGTGCTAATTAGCTCATTTTAGCTTGCTAACACCACAGATTTTGCATTGCACTGCTTTAACAATACAAAATACCATTTGTAAAAAATAAAAGAAAATGTAGAAGATCCAGATCCATTATTCTCCTTTGCCAAAACCTGATACCTATATTACCCATAATGCAATTTAACCACTGACATTTCAGTTCGAGATTTTGTTATGCTAGCAGCGGCTAATGCAGCCTCTATCCTGCAGCAAAGATGAGGAGCAGGCTCGAGAGGCCTGGTGAACTCACTTCTTTCTGACCACACCCCAGACTCAACCACACTTGTAGTCATCTTCAGCCCCAAACCCTTTTCACATATGCAGTAGTACACCCCCCCGTCGATGTTAGCATTTAGCTTGCTCAAACAGTGCAGGGATACAGAGCAGCTAGCATTGCTGCAGACTCCTGGTCTTATTTTAACCATTTCCAGCTTGAAACTCAATATGTGAGCTGTAATTTCATTGCATAGTTTAATGCAGCCTGTCTACAGCAATTACTTACAAGCTGATTCATTATACTTAATTGGCAGATGAAAAAATAAATTAATGGAAAATAGTCTGATTTGATTCATATCATGGAAGGAAAACTAGTATATACTAGCTATTTTTCGAGTGGCTATTTAATCATCCACACATTAAAACCAGCCTCGGTCCTGAATGTGTTTGACCTTTCAGGCTTCACCCTCTCCCTCTCTCTGTGTGAGGTACGAGTCCACCGCCTCTTATGTTTGGAGCTGTACATGTTAAAGTGATCTGTTTGCTGTCTAGTTAACAGAGGGAGGGAGAGAGGACGATCATGTAGGGGAGGGGAGGGGGTGGAGGAGAAGGGGGACTTGACTGGAGAGTGTGTAATAGGACACCAGCCCTCTCTGTCTTTTCGCTCTCCTCCCTCTCTCCTCTCCTCTCTCCTGTGCTCTCTCTCTCTCTCTCTCTCTCTCTCAGTCAAGCCTGCTCTGTGAGCACTTAGATGGAATAGCAGCGTTTTTTCCTCTTTGGTGTCACTGGAGGAGACTGGAAACAAGGTGTTTTTATAGAGGGGAATAAATAAGACCCAGTTCTGGTTTGGTACCTGGCTTCTTCAAGTGGGACCAACACTGAAGCAAGCTCCTGAAAGGTGAGTCCAGGACCGGGGGCTGATCTTAATCCCGTCTCTATGAGAAGCAGGGTTTACCTGCTGTGCTGTGTTGTACCGGACTCTACTGAGGCAGGATGCAGAGAGGAGGTGGTAGGCTTGAGGCTAACAGGTGCAGAGTCCCACCAGTGAGAATTGGTGAGGATAGCTGAAGTAAACTGTTTACTTGCTTCTCCTTAAAAATCTTGTGTAATATTACATTAGACTACTGTGTCATGCTTTATTTCCCTCATGTGCTTTGGTTGTAGTGTCTATTTCAAATACACTAAATTTCCAGAATGTGAGTCATGACTTTTTAGCCACTGCTGAAGCTGATACAAACTTTGTGTTTGTGAAAATTTTGTGATTGTTTTGAATGGCTTTTGGTTCGGTTAACATTTTTACGTAACTTCTTTCCTTTAAGCTTCAACCAACCTTTGCCTCTTACTATAAAACACTAAATAATGTTAAGAGGATTGTCCAGCATCACAGGGTTTGAATGCTGTAATCACAAGATTCACATGTTGTTTCATGAGTCTGTCTAAAGTTACTTGAAATACACACTTGCTAGGCGTGTGTGTGAAGGAACGTGTGGCTGTAACGGAGCCACTGACAACTGAATGACAGGGTGTGGTGTGAACACACACCGTCCTGTTAGAGCTGGGGCATAGAACAAGTTGTTTACCGTTTTAGTCTTTTAATTCTTGTTCTCCAGTCAAGGAAGAATTAGACCTTAATACTTAATAATTTAATCTATCAAACCTAAATCCAAATAGAAGGACTTTCTCTCTCAATTTCCTGTAGCTAAATTGTGTTTAAAGCATTAACAGGAGCAGATGGGAGCTAATCAATCACAGACCCAGTTGAAAAATGAAAGGAAAAAAACAATGATTTGCTTTATGGAGTTTTCTTCTTTTATCAATATTAGTTTTTGAGCAGCTCCTCTGAAAAAGTGAGATGGAAAACTCATTAGGCTGTCAGCCAAGGAATGCACAATAAACACAATTATCATTACACCCCACTGGAAATATAACTCTCCACTCGCTCAGGCTGACCTCCTTTTGTGGAGAGGCATTTAATTGCCGTCGCAGAGATTCCTGGCAGACTCAGGGCTGGAATTTCTGGACTTTGAAGAGCTCGACGAAATTAATTGAAGTATTTATTATTTTTTGTTCGTGGCTACAAACTGTAAAGCACCTTTCTACTGGGGAGACCCATTAATCCAGAGGAGAACTATAGTGAGTGAGAGCATGAGAGAGAGAGAGAGAGAGAGAGAGAGAGAGAGAGAGAGAGGTGGTGAGCACATTCATGACTTTAGTGCGGCGATCATCAAAGAAATGGAGGTGGAAGTGCCTAAACCTGATCTGGTGGGATGTCATAAGGTGCTCAAGGTGACTAACTGCCCTCGCGATGAGTTCAGCAGCTGTGAGACCAACATTTCCATGCCAGAGCCTCTCCCTGGGAGATCACTCTGAGCATGCAGGGAGGGGAACGGTCAACAGTTTCAAAGGCTGAGTCATTTAAATTATTCAAATTTTATCAGAATGTCGAAATGGGAGAATTCTGCTAATCCTTGGATTACATTCAATTCATTTTTCTTAAATGTCCAATTGTAATGCTTTTAAAATCCTTGCTTTCTACAATATCTGCACGACCGCTACAGCCTGGTTTAGGTTAGCGGAAATATAGTGGTAATGCCAATTAAACTAGAGGTATAAATCGTGGTTAAGACTAGTCAACAAACACATTTGGTTAAGTATAGTGAAAGACTGTGGTTAAAGTGAAATAATGTGACACGCATTACGGTCAATCAACTTCCCCAAGCTCCACACCCTTACTTGTTGCCTCACAATAAAAGAAAGGCACTGATCCATGGCATTGGATGCAAACTGTGGCATGTGGAACTGAAGATCAAGGAAGTAATATTTATTTTTTGAGGTCTTGTTTTCTGTTGATAATCCACAGACCTCAGCATTTTACACTGGAACTAATTTGTGTCAAAGAAAATGTGGACTTGAGACTTGACTGCTGTGAGGCTTGACTTAGTTAAGCGAAGATTAAAGTGAAATTCTGAAACAATAAAAGAAAGAAAAGAAAAGAAAAATAAGACGATGATAACAGGACAAGGGCTGACCCTTGGGACAGGGCTAATGCGGCAGGCGCCCAAGCTGAGGGAGGTTCTGGGGGAGGGAGGGTGTGTGTGTGGATGATGCATCGGCAGAGTGGCTGCAGTACAGCGGCCGGGGCCGTCTGCTTAAAACCCCATGCTGTTTTTATTTCTCCCCCCACAGAGATCCCATTCCTCTGCAGTCCTCCATATGTTCTTCTTCTTACACCTGAACAGTAGAATTTCACCTCAGCTGTATATCAGTCATGCTTCACTCCACCACACACACCCATATCTCAACCTATTTGTACACTACACCCCAAACTGAAATTTTCATAGCAATCACGCAGCTTTCTTATCTGTGGGCCATCAATTTTTCATCGCACATCCATAAGCCATGAGCAGGGGATCCAACCTCTTGTAAAAGCAATGTTTTCTTTTTGCATTTAAAAGGGTCTTTTTTTTTATATATATCTCTAGTGCAATGTGAATTTGTGCAACTCAGGTAGAGTAACAGCCAGTTTGGGTGGTTAAAACAGCCGAGTCTCTCTCCAGCAGTGGAGTTTTGCACTGCAGGAGTTCGCGCCCCGCAGGCAGTACAGTACCTGCCTCGATCAATAATTGAGCTTCTCTTGTCCTGTTACGGAAAAGGAACAAGAGGAGGCAGAGGGGAGCATTTCTCCGGCAGCTCTTTTGTGCAGATTTAACTCATCCATATTTAAGAGAGGTACATCTGCAAAGATATAACAAGTGATGGGATTTAACTGACATGTTGTGCTCTCATCTGGGTCTTCATTCAGGGCAGTTTGGGCTACGCTTTACTTTATACCTCAGCATCTCTGGACCTGTCAGACTGATGATGTGACTACAAATATCAGTCATGTGTTGTTTTCTGTGTCTTATTTCTGTCCTCAAGCAAAGTTCATGACCCTCATATCAGTGGAGTAAATATCAAAGACACTGTCATTAACTTGAAACTGCTGTGTCCCAGTGAGCACTGGTTTCAGCGATTTACTGATAGAATCAAGATTAAAGCCACTACATGTATAATTTGTGAGACATTATAGCATCTTTTAAAGTTAGTCTTTTTCATTGTAGAAAAATGACACAATCTTGAATGAGCCTATTTGTCACTTTCAACACTTTCATGTCCTCGCGTGTAGTGATGTCTGCCATAGTGTCTTTGCTGATACCACCACTGGGGGGCTTTAACTGGGCTAAGTGACAGTTGTGTGTATATACATAATATATACAGTATATAATACATATATTGTCTGTATGTATACCACTTGTATCACCCAAACCCCAGCGCTACTGAGCTTTTTAGCATCTTTCAGCTCCTTGTTTTGCCTTTACTTTGGCTGCAACTTCATCACTTTATAACCTTTTTTTTTATGATCATCAGGTCAGAATTTTTATTTATCCATTGCTGTACTTATGAAAGTATTTGGTCTAAAGCCAGTGTCATTGCCATCTGCCTCAGCTACACTTAGAGTTTAGTGCTAATGAGCAAATTTTCACATGCTAACTCCACCAATTTAGCATTGCACTGCTTTAACAATGCAAAATTGCAAATAGCTGGTTTTAGCGCTCATAAACTCACTATATGCTAAATCTGCCCGACACCAAACAGTAAGCACGCCTCGTGGCGAGCAGCTGGTGAACATAGTGGAGCATTTAGCTGCTAAAGAGTCAGATATTTCCTTCAGGAAATAATAAAGACCAAACCAGAGCTAAAAGGAGAGCAACTATTTGACTTTTATTCACCAGGCGTCAAGAAACATGACTCTGAATGAATGATAATGTTGCTCTGTATGTGTTGTATGTGTAGATAAGCAACTGTTAAGTCATGTCAGGTTTTATAATGTGGTGATAAGTCATTGGCAATGTGTTTATAGCTTGTTCCTCCGCCAAACAGTCAATTAATATTGCTATAAATGATTATATACTGATATTTCAACATGTAGAACTAGCCGTGTCATCTAGCAAAAGAAAAAAACTTTACTCTCAATTTTTAACCCGGACTTCCTTTGAGGTGTTCTGGGTAGATTTCTTTTACAGAAGCTCTTCTGGTACACAAGCACTGACATGTTTTACATTAGCAGAAATGGAAGTTTGTTTGGAATACACTGAAGATTTAACAGGGATTGTTACAATGGAAGAATAGGCAACTTCCAAAGGTATGACTTACAAGACTGAGGGAAAGTTAAACTCAAAACCTCTGATTTTCCTCTCCGAAAACCCTCCTACAGGCAGCGGTGACTGGTTGTAGTTCCTGAGCGGTGCAGTCATGGGCAGGCCGGAGGGGTTGGCCAGGCCACCTCTGGTGTCAGCTGTGGCACTTTCCCTCCTGGCTCTCTCTCTCCTCTCCACCGGGGCCTCCAGCCTCCCACAGCCTCTGCCAAGAGTCTTCCTTTCCTTCGAAGGTAAGAAGAAATAACAAACATGCTTCCCCCCCGGAACGAATGTAAACCATCAACTTGGCCTTTGTCCACTTGTTGTGTTTCGCTGCAAATGTAATGATGTTGCACTTATGCCATGTGTTTAGTGCGCTAATGCTAAACAAATGGTTGATAATCAAGGCTAGCCAGGGGCTACATCATTATAGAATAGAATACGGCTTACCTAGACTTTACAGATCTTATGCAATTATGCTGTTTCTTTGGATCAGATCCATCTTTGACAGTTTGAACCTCAGGCCTTGAAGCTCTGTTCTTGGTCAATCCTTGTCCATCTATTGTCCTGCTGTGTGTAAGCAAAAAGTCAAAGCTCTGCAGGAGGTGGCACTGCTTGTCAGAACTACCCTGAATCTGTTCCTAGTTAAACTTTAATCACACTACTCTGTAGTGCAGGCCTGTGGGTATTGTTGCTGCCTCTGGTTTTGATTCTCTTGTTTTATTTAATTTCTTTGACATAGATTATTTTATGAATTTTTGATGTTCCCTTGAAATGTGTGTACTTTAGTGGTAAGCGGGTTGAGTGTGTGTGTGTGTGTGTGTGGTCCAGGTATTACTCATGTTGTGGGGACCTTAATTACACAGTCACATTATGAGGACTTGTCTTCCTTATGGGGGCAAAAAGCAAGTTGCCATAACATAAATAATTAAATTCAAGTAGTTACAAGTTTTAAAGTTAGGATAAAGTTAGGTGTAGGTTGAAGTTAGGGTTAGGAAAGTAGTAGTCATGGTTAAGTGTGTGTGTGTGTGTGTGTGTGTGTGTGTGTGTGTGTGTGTGTGTGTGTGTGTGTGTGTGTGTGTGTGTGTGTGTGCATGCTTGCCTGAGTCAATGTGGATGAGCTGGTCGATCACTTATGCCCCATGCAGTGTGAGCGGAGCAGTAACCTTTTTGCAGTGGCTGGATAGTGTGCAGGGGCTGACGGAGACGTTTGATCACCTTTCACTACCTCTCACTGTGGATTAGGCAGCTACAGAGCAGCTGAGGCTGTCCATCAATAAGGTTTCTCCATTCAGACAGTTAGAGAAGTCTTACAACGTGAGGCTGAAGCAGCTGTACTTTTGTTGTTTTCTTTTTTTCTTTCATTCTCAGGCTGTGACTAAATTTGCCGTACTTGTGCCACGTATTCTCCCAGTTTGGGCTCATTCTTTCCCTCTATGCCTCGGTGTCATTTCTCTTCTGTCTTTCTTTCTCTTTCTTTGATTATTGTTTCATTCCATATTTCTGAACCAGCCTGCTGTCATGGGACAGTCTGTTTATGCTCTGCACACTGTGTGAGTTGTTAAATATGACAGATCAGGAAAAGAAAGAGGCCAAAACGAATGACTGGACACAAGGAAAACCCAATACCATCACTATCTTTGGTTTTGACCGCTCCAGTCACATTATTCACTCACTTCTCGCTCCTCAGTGTTTCCAAATAGCCATCTTATAAGGTCAAAGGTGGCCGTGCTGAAAATGAGCCAATCCCTGTAATCCTGGAACGCTCCATTCCCTTTCTGAGTGTGGATTAGATTTGATTTGTGTTACTTACTGTAAGCGTGTACGGCCTCAGGGAGGACCATAAAAGGAGAGTTTGAATGCTGGCCACTAATTCTTTAACAAATTCTGCACTTTATTCTTAACGAGAGTTTGTATGTATGATGAGGTAAATGTGTGTGTTTTAGTGTGCTGTAAATACCGTAAGTTGCATTTAGGTGAATTTATGAGTAAATAAGAATAAAGACGACGAGTTTTGAAGTGGAACGATGTTTATTCGAAAGCTAAACAGCCAGCTTCAGGTGTGAATTTACATTCCAGCTTTGATTTAGCACTTGATATTAAAACTTCAGGGAGCTATGAGCAGATGCACCTTTATTTTTTGAGTTAGAAATCATTTTTGAACTGAGGAGGATGAGGATCATAACTCCCTCTGGCTGCAGGAGAGAGTTCGGCATGGGTGAGCACCAGATGTAGGGAGACTCTTAAGGCCTAAGGCGGAGGCTCGTTTCTCCTATAAACACTGTTGTTCACCAGGGGAAGAATTCAGGGAGTTTGGGCTCCATCCAAAGCAGCCAGAAAGACAAATGAAGAGTCGTGGAAGAAGGCTGGAAGAGTGGCGTCCCAGAGGGGGAAGAAAGCGCAGGTGTTTTGGCACCTGCTGGGTGGCCAAAAGGTTAGTCCTTGAGTCTGGATTCTTCTGCTGCCAGATGTGAAACCTGTTAATTATTATGAGCTGGAATTAACTAAACCAAGAAAATAAACTAGCAAGTGAGACGCTTGTGTTGTACATAGATCAGGACGCTTGAATATCCTCCACCTTTTCCTTCTTGTGTCACAGCTGAAATCCAATCCGGGGGTAAGGCAGGTTCATGGGACTCCCGGCGTAGCCCCCCGTCCTGCAGAGAAGTTGCTGTCTCTGACATTCCTCTCTCCCTCACTCTGCTTACTCTCGTGTTCTCGAGGCGAACGCAGCCAGGCCACAATTAAAACCGCATAATAAACAGTGAAAAATGCAACTAACCCAAATAATAAACTCTCCAGCAGTGCCTTTCTCTTCCGTGCCTCGGATAATAAACTCAGGCCCCCTTCCTCACAGCAAAACTATGTAGGGATACCCAGTGTGATAGAAGATAATGACTCCTCAACATTTATTTTGGCCGGTTTCATGGCATGTTTGATGCATTTGCTGCTAAGAAGGAGGCTGAGTATACAGAGCACAAGTAGTATGCAATTGTGAACAAAAATGGGTTTTTTTTTTCAGAAATGAACTGTCAGATAAATTTCAAATATTTTGTCCGGCTTTTCAGAAACTCTAAATAGTTTATTGCCCACACATCTCTGGAAAACAGTCTTGAAAGTCTAGACTGATGTAGCTGGTATAACAGATGTGGTCTCATCGTAACACAATTAAAAATTATGGTTGACATATTGTTTTTTTTTTTTTCTTTTATTACAATGAAATCACAGCACAGCCTGGCTTGTTTTGGAAATTGAACAGCCCTTCAGCTTTGGGGCTGTAACATGAATTTTTCTTAAAAAAAAAAAAAAAATGAATGAAAAGAATTTGCATGAACTGATGAATCATTTCAGATAGTTCAAATGCAGGTAATCCACTTGAACTAATCTTAAACTACATTGTAGTGATGATGCCTCCTGCTTCTCTTGAGTGACAAGCTAACGTTACTATAAAGTGTATTTCATGAAGTCAGTAAACAGCTTTACCTTTTATCCAATGATTTTACTTTCTATAGTGTCAAATACAAAATGCTATCACTCATTACTTTGTTGATGGTTTGGTTTCGTTCTGTTCTGCGGCTCGCTAGTTTCCTCCAAGGCACGTTAGCAAAGAGTGCGACAATAGTCATAGCACATGCAATCGGTCAGCTGGAATATGAACTTCAAATTTTGAGTAAAAGTGGCAGCCCTAGTCCAAATGCATCATTACCATCTCTTCGCATTTAGGACACTTAGCAGCCATTTTGTCAGGCACTACTTTTAAACAATCTTTCAGAACTATGGCGGCTGCAAATTTTACTTGTTTGGTTCCATCCAAAATGTGTCTTTCTTATTAACTACCGAAGGCTGTTAATAAAGTTTTTGGTGAAATTTGTAGTTTTGTCTTAGATATTCACTGATGTTAATGAAAAAGTTGACCAATTTCAGACCATTAGTTTTAGGCAAAGTTCTTGTAGAGCTGCCTGCCGTAAAATAAAGGGGATGAAAAAAAGTTTATATTCCTCATAATATGGGTTTTGGAAAATGTATTGGTACTGAAAGACTGATATATCAATGCCCAACCCTAGTATGGATCGGCAGCTTAAAAGCTTTAGCTAAATAGCACTAATAGTGAGTTATGGCTGTCTGTGATGTGTTGAGATGACAGACAGGATTAACATAGCACTGCTGTTAATTTTAGACATTGTCTAACAGCTTCCAGATTTTTAAATACATGTAATGCTTGCTCAGACAACATACTGCATTAGCGGAGAGAATAAGATACTGTTTAAGTAGCTGTTCTATTATTGTGTAGTATTAACACGACCACGCTACCTCCTGCAACGACGGTAACAGCCACACACTGATTTTGTAGCTGTAAACTGGGAAAGGAGTGTTTTTCAGAACAGGGCTGATACTGCAAAGCACAGCATATTGAATTAGCTGCATATTGGTTCTGCTACTGTATCTGCGGTTGGCCCTGCTGTTGCCAAAATGCCATTCCCAAGATGGTGGGATCAACAATTCAGCCTCATTTATCCCTTCAGTTGGCAGTTGGGTGTTCATGATCAGGATCATTTAACCTCATCAGCGGTCTCACCCTGTTCTGGCAAACCTCCAGTATCCAATACAGTATAAACTTTGAAATATATACAGTATGTATGTGAAATCCTGAAAGATGTTTATTTGAAAGGCCTTCACCTGCTCATGTGTGGATAATGTTGATTTTTGCACACACACGTTTGGCTGAGAGCCTAGTCAGGACATAGGAGAGATTGATTAAGATGATGTGTGTAGTTTAATGAGCGCTCCCTCACATTGGTATGAGCCACATGGGCTTCGCTCGCAGGAATCGGGATCAGCTACCAGGCTTCAGAGAGCGGATACACCGAATCCCTACTCTCTTTTATCATGCCTCATTACTACCTCCACCCCCCCACCCCACCCCCCCACCCCCATTATTCATATGGGAGTGATACTGTTTATACGCTGTAGGTGGATGTCAGTCTTTTAAGGATGTTTACTTGGCAGTGAGGGTTTTCAGGAGTGTGTGTATGTCAGTATGTCTGAGAAAGAGTGTGTGTTTGCTCGTGGTGAGTGCCTCAAGGTGCATTCCTTGAATTTACTGCATTTCGGTTGCAAACCTTTCTGCTGAATCATTGTTAAAACTACGCCTTTTTCCAGATTTGTAACCTGCAAAATCTCCAAGCTGTTTTGCTAAGTAGATACCTCAAATACTTTAATCTCAAGGCAACCGTGACTAATTTAAATCTGA